TACAAAAATTATGAAATTTTATATTAAATTACATATTATTTTAGATAACTAAATTAGTTCTTAATTAAAAAAATTTAAATATCTCATAAAGAATATTAAAATTTTTAATGTCATAAAGTAAAATTTGAAGACAAGTAAAATTAATTTCATAATATAAAATCTAAAATTTTTATTTTTTTAATGCTAAGTTTGTTTTAGCTATTTCTCTTTTAGTCTCTCCCAAAAAATAAAAAAAAACTCCCAAGTCTATGTTATGTTTGAATGAATATTTATAGAATTTAAAAAGACTTATTAAAGATGAAAAGAAGTAGGATCTATAATAAAAATAGAAATCCTTAAAATTGAAAGGGTGTTTAGTATCAACAGTAAAATGTAAGTCTTGGCACTTCTATTTATTTTTCGCGGAGCCCTTTTTTTAAGGATTTAACGCATTGCGTGGACACCAAAAAGTAGGTGTCGACACCAAACCCGTGTCAGGTTTCCAGACTTTTTGTAATTTTTTTAACGGTAAAATATTATATCTGGTCCTCTAGCTTTTATACCATGAGCACTTTGATCCCACAACTTCGAATTCTTTCATTTAGTTCCCCCAAAGAACCTTTCTCCTAGCAATTCAATCCCTCAACTTTCCAAAGATATTCAATTAATATCAAAAGCTCCTATCATTAAGCATTCAAGTCATTTTCTGCATAAAAAATGAAAATTAATATAAAATCTATTAAAAATTACATCTTATCCATGCAAATAATAATAAAATTAAGGCTAAAATAATATATTAAGGCATATAAAATGCATTTCCTCATGTAATCCCATAATCCAAAAAGCAACAGCATTGTGCTTAAGGCTCTAACTTCTTGTGTTTGTGAGATAGATAAAAAACGAAACAAAGCATAACAAAAAACTTTAAGAAAATCATAGGTAGAAAAATTACCATATAAATGCTCATATAGAAATTGATTATTGGTGATTGATGATGGAATTTGATCAATGAGAAAAAAAAAATTGAAAGTAGTTCAACCCCAAAATCACTTAAGATGATGAAGAAATGAGCAGAGCACAAATAGATTTAAGGATGTGTTTGTGTTTGCATTTAACTCGCCCATTCTGTTAAGAAATATAAGATTGTTGTGTCCATGTACCTTGTTCTTTGAGAAAAGAATGAAGTTTAGTATAGAGGTAATTTATAACATTATCAGTTCTCAAAACTTTGATAGTCCTAGAGAATTGGGTTTGATCATGGTAGTAAATTCAATATAAAGTTGGGGTAATTTAGAGTGATTTCTTATGAGAAATATCTAAGTAAAATGAGTATAATTATCAATAAATAATACAAACTACTTGAAACCCCTTCATAGTAGATGTAAGAGATGGACTCCAAACATTAAAATGCACAAAATGAAAAAGAGCAGCAAAAATAGAATGACAACTAGAGAAAAACAAAACTGGTTGTTTTGTAAAATGACATGACACATAGTGCAATGATTCATTTTTAATATATCATAGTAAACCACTTGAGATAAGAGGACAAAGTTTACCATCTCAAGTGTGTCCAAGTCATGAGTGCCATGGATGGAGAGGAAAAATGTTAGAAGTAGCACATATTTGGAAGATTTGTTGATATGGAATTTGCAAAGATTCTAATGCAATAGCATAAAGTAGGGTTTGAATGAAACAATCATTTGAAAATGATGGTGTATCAATCTTATGATGTGAAATATTTAGATAATTGAGCTCACATATATGCCTCGCCTCATGATAAGTTCCAAGAATTTGTTTTGTATGTGGGTTTTCCACATGACAACCATAAGCGAAGAAAATTACTTCAAGGCTGATATCACATAATTAACTAACAGAAAGAAGATTATAACTAAGTTTTAGAACCAAAATAGCATTTGGTAAAGTTAATAAATTTGTAAAAATATTGTCAATGTGGCTAATATTCATAGGAGATCCATCAATAGAATAGATATTAGGAAAAAAGATGATTTGGTGATATTAAAAAAAAAAAGAGTAGTACTTGAAGACACGTGATTATGATAATCAAAATTAAAATACCGAGGTTTAATACTTGGGGTAATAAATAAAGTAGTAGGAGCATTGAAGAGATTTAACATCACCTATTTTAAAGATTTAAGAACGACATTTGGGTTGCTTTATCATTTCTTTGGCAATCATAGCAATAGCAAGATAAATCGCAATTCTTTCAAAACTCATCATGAAATTAATAAAACTTATAATATTAAAAAATTTCTAAAAAATATGAAGAAATAAGTATCATATATATATAAACTCAACAAAATACCGTAGAAACCAAATTGAGTACTAAGAAAACCAGCAGAAAATGAACTAGTAGAAATCGAACCAGCAGAAAATGAACCAATAGAGATCAAACCGGATTAAACCAACAGAAATCAAATCAGATCGAACCAACATAAATCAAACCAAATTGAACCAAAACCACCAACAAAACAAAGCGCTGAAAAACTCAATCGGGCCCTTTTTGCGTTGATGAATCCTAAATAAAACAAAGATTGTTAAAAAAAAAAAAAACTTATACCTCTCATACCATATTAGAAATTTAAAAAAGAGAAATATTTAAAATTTTTATTATTAGTTTATTATATATACAAAAGACTTATATATAGATTTATATAATAAAATATTTTTAAATATAAAATTAATTAATTTAAATATATGCAATCAATTAATTTATAAGCATAATATAGTATAAATATTAATATTCTAACATCTCTCAATAAACTATTAACCACCGTAAATGAGCTTGTAGCTCAACCAGTAAGAAATTTATTTCTTAACTTGGATGCTGATGTTTTAATTTTATGTGAAGTGCATGCGTACATACTAAAGATTACAACTACTACGATTATATATAGGACCTTGATTGGTGCGCACCCGGATCCAACATCCGGGTGTGCACCCCCACATAAAAAAAAAATTTGAACTGGGTGGTGATGAGCTTTTTTTTTTTCAATGGGGAGTGTGCACACCCGGGTGTTGACCCGGGTGTGCACAAATCATTTTCCTTATATATATCATGCACAATATTCAAACACAGCCCAATACAAAAGTCTTAACTTGGAGGAAAACCCACGCAAAAGACTAGAAACCACACTAGTGCTGTTTCCTGTTATTGAGCTAAGCTTTTTCATGAGCTGTTCGTGGTAGCATGATGAATTTCTATTTCCATGGATGTTGCTGCGCCACTTATATCATCAGGGTCTTCAGTAGG